GCCACTGTATTGAGATTGGAAGCGACAGTATATTTACCAGTCAATAAATTCATGACCAAGGCTCCTAGTCGTGTTGGAAAGAGGGTTCTACCGTGTGATGGTAATGAACCACTAGTCACACGTAGAAAATTATATAAATAACGAAAGTCATCATGCCTGAGGCTCAGAATATATTGGTAAAGCTCGAATAATGCCAGTTGAGCTGAAACCAGGCGAAAAATGCCAGACCAAGATAAGCAATGAAATTCACCCAGTTTAATTGAAGGAGGAAAATGCAACGTGCCCCACGGATATGAAGAGTGTGGGTCACACAAGATGGTGTAATAACACAATGGTGTGGCTTCACTTAAAAAACAAGTCTGTACGTGCTGGAACAGCCAGTAGTTATACATTTAATTAGGTTTGTCTATATAGATAAGAAAATCTATAGATTTAGATGCTTTGCCGCAAACCCACCGAGAAATACAGTTTAGGTGTTCGAACGGAAGATTTAATTAGAAGTTGTATTTACTCTCGGAGTAAGTGTACTGGCTCTTATTATAGAACGAAAGTCACCGACCTTAGCCAAGCTTCCTCTAAACGGAAGAGCTCCGGCAGCCCTGCTGCACAAACTCTGATATAGTTTGCTTGTACAGGAGGCGATCGTTGTAGCGATTTGAAATGGGACACAAAAACAGAATAGACGCACTTATATGCCGTGGCAGATTCGAATGGGGTTGGTCTTCAGATTGATGGTTGTTTCGTGCAGTCCAAAGAACATAGGGTACGGTCGCTCGGAAGAGATTTTTTGTATCCAGAATTCAGAAAGCCGACCCGCTCAGGATCACTGAGCGTACATACCTCAAGCAAATTTACTGGGAGGCGAGAAGCTCGGGCCATTCCATCTTGACCAGAGCCCAGAGCTAAGGTGCCCGGAGCAGTCAAAGAAAATATGTCGATTTGTCTCGACTACGTTGCCGCATACGAATGTCTACCTGTGCCCATATTGCAAAGTGAGAGCGCGACTGAGTAGAGAGAAGCATTCAGGTAAGGCAAAAATGGAAAACCGACTAGACAGGAAAAGCAGCTTGGCGAAAGACCTCTAAAGCCACCACAGAAGGTAAAAGTAATTCGGGTTTCACCTCTCCACGAAATGAGATAGCGTGTGGCCCCGTAGTAGAAATTTCGCCCGAATGATAAGTCGGCACAAGTCGTGCCTGGTGAGGCCTGGAAAAAGTACTTACGGTTCCTCCGACTTGCGCCAATGACGTAGCATTGTAGTACAGATGCCTGTAAACACACATATATATATCTTGTAACCTTTGCTAACATGCAAGTGAAGCCTTCAAGGAGCTCCGACAAATTATGCAACCAGTTTTGTCAAGACCATTTCGGTACACCCAGTAGGATACGTGACACAGATTCTGGAGTCTAGGTCATCCAGCAACCATAAGATTAAGCATGGAGCGACACCCCGCCGGGGCAGCAAACCTCAAGCGAAGATGGTGTTGAGCCCCGTCTGCACCAAATAAAGTGATACCATCATGTTGCAGTACACGAACGGGTGGGTTGATTTCCACTCATACACGGGGGGCAAAAATGACTGAAAATGTCCTTGATCTAACTGATCTTTGAGTTGCATTCGATGTAGTGCGGACCAAACTTTTCATTTGAAATGTCACCAGGGATTAAATGATGGGGCTTTCGCCACCGCCAATCGAGGATTTTAAGAAAAATCTAGTGCATCAAGCGGGGATGTGTTAGATGCTCCAGGAATACCGTTCCGATGTAATTCAGCTACCGTTACACGCGACAGCTCATTTTCATCCATGGCAACAAGATGCTGTTATAAGCTAATGCGTTGGATGCGCAAATTGTTACCAGAAGAGGATGATGGAGTCTAGAAGCGTCGAGAGAAACACTAAAGAAGAAGTATAACTGGACTTGTCGTGATTCAGCACAGTAATTCGAAAGTATATCGACTTGATAGGACAAGCCAGTCAAGTAGTGACATAATAAGGTGGATTTATCTGCAAAGCTGAGCCCAGCAATACAGTCGGTCGAACTTGCAAAGCCGTGTTGTTGCGCTTACCGAGAAAGGATTCCGAAACCTTCAGTAGAGTATAAGGGGAAGAGAGGATTCCTCTGCTTCACGCCACTCATGGGAAACAAGAAATTGATAATCCTGAAGAAAGCCATTTGATGACAGAAATGCTGTAACCTCGGAAAGAAGAAGGCAAACCCACTTCACACAGGACCACAACCAACGCCCTCCAGCACCCGAAAGAGATACTTCCAATTGGCTCTTTCGAAAGCTTTTGCAAAGCGGAGAAAGAACTCGATTTTCTGATCGCCAAGCTATTGTAGTAAACTGTGAATGTCTAGGAGAAGACGCACAGGATGATGGAGCAATCTTCTTCTAGTCAAGTGAGTTAAGGCAGGAAGCAAATACTGGAAACGATATGCTAGCGCCTTCGACAAAATCTATGCATCCTATCACATACAAGCTGTATGAATGATATAGGTCTGTAGTTGCCAGGATCCTGCCAAACACTTTTCAAGCATAGATATTTACAACATCCGCTGAGAAATAATTTTTTTATCATTACAAATGAGAAATTTTTTTTCGCGGTCAAACTGGAAGTGTAACGAGGTTGTCGTGCACTTTGCACAAAGGAAGCTTTAACTCCAAGCACATATGTTGGATTCGTACGCTTCTACAAGGACTGAAGTCGAGAGCCTCTAAAGTAACTAACAGTGTCAGTTATCTCTGCTATCTAAATATACCGACCCTGAGCTCAAGTGGCTAGTCACTTGACCTGGGTTCGGGTGCCATAGAATCCGAACTAAGGCAGCCGGCGATAGGTCACTCAAGTGGGCTAGCAATCACACCCAACTCGCACCCAAATGGCTGAAGGACCCACGAACCATCACGCTCCATAGATGGCGGACTCTGATCTCAATAAGGGTTGGATTGCTACCAGCATCCCGCGCTAGAGAATGTTAATCCTAGCGTGCGGTTTCCGGTAGCTTAAATCTCTGCTATTTGAAAGTACATATATTTAAAACTGGAATCTATGTCTTATTTTTCATAATTTACTGTCTTAGTACAAATAGCCACAATGCCGGATTGAAATTTTGGTAGTATAATACCAAATGTGTAATAATTAAGTACGCAAGATTACAGCACCTGCCTCATTTTGTTGAAACCAGCGTATTTCTGTCAATGCATTCCTAGCCCCCTAATTATAAACAGACCTTTACCTGGAAATAACACTTATTCTGAATACAATCTGTTGCGTTGTCGAACACTTCCTACAGTGTACTACTTCGTCAAATTTCAATTCCGCGCGGACAAAATTGTTTGTTGCTTTAAGCTGATGACAAAACCTTTGTCATTGTAAAAATATATGAATTAGCTCAAATTTGCTGCTTGTTAGCTTTGACATGAGACGTTGGTATACCGCTGGGTCTTGCGAATATTATCCTTGATTGACAGCCAGAATGAGCGTTATACCATCAAAACTCAACATTCGCATTGCTATTGATCTTGTATTATCGCTTTACATGACATAAGACACCTATGATAGCACGCATCCTATGCAAACTCGTAATCACGTAGTATGTGAAGCTTCTCATAGAGAGTATTAGTTCTCTTGAAATTCTATGTGCTTCCATTGCTTGGCCGAACTCATTCAAATTTGAGGCTCTGCTCATTGCAATATTTCTTGAGCTTCATTTTCTAATGTTGCCATTAAGAAAGTGGTGGCTTTCCAAACTTGTGATCTTAAAGACTTTCTTTCGCAACTTGACTACACCTCATTTGTTTCATTAGTTCTTTATTTTAACATCTGAAATGGTGCTCTTCATTAGCCACAACATCGTCCAAAACCTTAGTGGTTGCAAATTTACCTATAGCTTGACATTTTATTTTCACTGGAATGCTGTCTCGGACGGCTCCGCCTTCTAATATGTGTACTCTGCATCTCTTATCCTAATCTTTTAATTTCTTTTGCGGCCCTGTCCAGCTCGTAATGCAACATATCTTTGATTTGTCCATTAGAAAGTCATGGTAAACTGAAAAACAAGTTCACACTCATTAAAAAATCCCTTAACGTTAAGGTTCTATCAGACACATCCGTTTTTGGCTTTGTATTGAAGCATTATGTGTTACTAATTCATGCTACGTATACCGCGGCATCATCCAAAATTCCAAGGAAAACCACAGACAAAAAATATGCTTTGGACAACATTCACATTGTCCGATGGGAGAGATCAAAATTTTGATATGCTTCTTCATTATTGGCCTTATTGAAGGTGATGTATTTGACAGAACATGTTCTGAACCTTGCCCTGTGCTAAATCGATAATCCTGCGATGTGACTATCTATCCAATTTTACCGACGGAAGTTACCCTGTCGATAGTAGAATACTGAATCTTGGCTAGAACTCGACACCAGTTAGACAAATTAATAAAGAGGTCAATCTCATAGGCCAAGTAAATTTTTAGTGTCATCGGAACCTTCATGTAAGAGAGATGATTTATCATATCAGAACTGCCGTTGCAACATTCTTTTGTGATTTGCTTTTCTGCTTGCACTCACGCCTAGCATTTTTTATAATCCATTAGCTTGGCTTTAAACAGAACTTCTCGTGTCATCTTGATGATCTTGCCATAACGCAACAGACCAATTTAGAGGTCGGTAGGGCAGACCCATGCTATGCACTAAATTGGGTTTTATAGTAAACAGATTATTTTGGTATTGATCTCAACTTAAATTATGCCTTTTGAAAAAAGAGCAAGCTATGCATCCTCTTAATTAAGATACCCGAGGATGTTTTTTCGGATGGATCATACGAACCCATTCCCAAGGTGTTACGTTAAGCTGGCTCTTAGAAACCAAGCCTATATATAAAGTAGGCAACTCCGTTGTATTTGATAGCACTTTTCGTCAATTTGACGACCAAGTCTTGATAATATTGTATTTTCTTATGAAATGGAACACATATTACTCACCTTTATGACCTTGAGTCATTGTGTCACGCTTGATAAGCTATCTCTTGTGACGGGATGATAGAATTGGCGGCACTTCCTTTGAACAATAAGGGGCAACCCCTGTCGGGCTAGCGGCCTCTATGCTACGAGGTCGCGAGGGAGAAAAGGCGCCAATGAGCAGCGCCTTTGTAAACGGTACAGTCTCAACACGCAATCAAGCGATTGATGGTGTATATTATCTTGCTTCAGCTCTTAAAACACTTTGCATGCGCCAAGGGATTCGAAAGATAATGGACTTTGCCCGAGGCTTGCGAACGAAATAGCGGCAGATCCTAGTTTGAGAACGATAATGTTTACCATAGATTAGCGGGTGTTCATGCAGACGTAGCTCTCTTCGAGGCTAACCGAACTCACGTGCCGAGAAATTGATTAGTTTCGAATTAAATGAAGCACACAGCCTTTGTGCCGCGAGAGCTAGTTGGAAGGCAGGAGCCGATTGTATGAGTGCACCAGAGTTGATTAAGGTCAAACAAGCTGAGAAGAAAGTGAGAGGTTTTAAGCTGCTGCGTAGCACCGCGCTACTCACTGGAACTGCATCTTGATGCCGGCGCGGTTTATTTCTCTCGCTTGAATTTGAATGAAGCAAACATCAGGCTTCCAGAGAGAGTTGCTTGATAATCTTCTTACGAGGAAATGTGGAGTCTCAGTACATGCAGGGTTTGCTATCAAAATGCAATGAATTCAAGTGTATCTCGCGGGGGTAAAATTGCGACCAATCCATAAAGCAAACCGCAATCTCTACAAGAATGATGATTCACAGCCTTCTTGGTTGTCATCGCCAACATATAGAGTTTCGCATCTTCGTGAAAATTTTTGATTAAACTTTGAAGCTTAGTGCACTAGTGTGCGTCTGGTAGCAATCGGAAACTGATGACAGTACGTTAAGACATCGACGATGCCGAGTATGAATACGTCATATGTGCTTGCTAAGGCGACATTCGCAGAATTGTTTTAGATTTTTTTCTTTTAGCTTCTCCAAAAATTTTAATTACTTTGTGTAATCGGCAACACTTAGCCATTACTTGAAGTTGCATCTATGTACCTTCTGAATACATAGTGGGAATTTATAAGAAGTAGATTACAGTTTGGCGTTCTCACATGCATTTGTGACATCGAATATGAATAAAAAAAAATATTTGTGGTACAGAATGTTGGTTTCTACTGAAGATGTACTGGTGACGAGACCAACGTGTACTGGTGACGAGACCGACGTTTCTGAAAAGGATGGCACAAGCCAGTCTAATCTACTAGCTCAAACATTCCAAGTTTAAGCTCCGTACAGTATAAGTTCAAGCTGAGATTCAACCTCAGTACACCACGGATTGTATAGGTCACGTTTAAAATAAACCAGTTCTATTAGTAGAACCTGTAGGAATCTATGGGGTGTTTTGCATGCAGCTCTGGGAGCCATTAACTAATTTTTATTCAGTTGCAAATTTGCCTCTAAGGCCTCAAATCGTCCGTCTTCCTCCCTAAGTCCTCACCCTAAACGTCGAAAATCGCTCACTCGTCGCACAAGCGTTGAGTTTGAGGGTGTCTTGTAAACAGCGCCATCTTTCACTTCGACGACAATCCCGTCCAACACATGTCGTGGTTTAATTACCATAAATTATGGTTATCTAAAAGACTTGAACATTGGGTGCGCTCGCACTTCTCGACCAGCGAAGTATTGGTGAGTCAAAATCTATCTCTGCATGAAAGCATAAGAGTTTTTGACGCAGACAAGAGCTTCAATAGCTTTGGTGTAGGATACAAAAATGTCCGAAGTAGTTAGCAGTGATGTTGGTTAATGTCTGGAAAGAAATGTGAAGTTAGAAGCGCCAGTGAGTCTCGGTCTCTAACATTAGACGACAAGTATAGCCTGGTTTTCATAACGAGACAGGAATTAGAAATGGTATGTCGCGATCCTTAGAGTATGCTTCCCTGGTGAGACACTTGATTACAGATGTAAAATTGTATCCACAAATATGGTTCCGAAGGGGCGTAAGAGGGCGACTGCGTGTTCTTATTCCAGGAGGCTGTCCCGTACCTACTAGGCAGTTTGTTCTGCTACTTCAAGTGCTCCTATAATAGGGTAATTTTTTAGACTAAAATGGTAAGTACATTTTACAATCTTTCATATAAAAACTGTATTATCTTACGTGCGGCTAGAAGCCCACGTTAAACGCGGGCTCATCCTTGTCAAAGTTCCGCAATCTTTGTAATATCCCGGGACTATTCATAGTTTGCAATGTGATTCGCAAAATCAGACCCGTCGGAGCAATTTATTCACCAGTTCAGCGAAAGAGGGGGTGAGGACAGGCAGCTTCAAGTCGCAAGTAGAAGGACCCAAACCTGATGATATCACATACTTCATATTAAGCGCCAATCGTGCGAAAGAGTGAAATTTACGGGTTTATGGTTAAAATATCACTCACTAATAAACGCAGCGACAAATGTCGTTTCGGTTGCTGTAAGACTTCTATTTTACCTCCGATGGAACTGTCACTGAGCTTGAAAAATTATTGCTAAGGGGGTTATTTGAATAGAAGCTTAGAGGTGAGGTCACCAAATTGATACAGCGGAGCTGCCGGGCTCGTCATCCTTCAAAGATATGCAGCGGGGCTGCTGTAGCTTAGAGGAAGCTTAGAGATGGTCGCATTTTCTGCTCAATGTGCCTTGTGTTTATGACGCGAAAAACACCCAGCGTTGCTGGTCCGAGGGCGCCCACGGACAAAGTCTTTTTTCGTCTCTTGCACGCGGTCCAATTCCGGAGAATACGCCCGCGGCTTCCCGGGAAGCACAAGCCAAGCCCTCGGTTCCCGGACGCCACACACAGGGCATATCACGGTTGTCGGATTTCCTCGACTTCAGGGCGGATACGCCTTTCCCAAAATGAAGAATAGAGGAATGCGAGGTGCGTCAACGCCGCGGCATTAACCCTGCTCGAACCTTACAGACACCGTGTACGTTTCTCGGCCTCCCGACTTGTGAGAGAAGTGGTATTATTACCAATTGCCTCGGCGAGGCACAGGAACAGCAGCTGGAAACTGCCCACAGGGTGATTCTCATGCGCTCGCTTCCACGGTCGGTTTAAGACCCTCGTGTGGAATACGGCTTCTGCTCGGCGGGTCCC